AGAAAGTGCTTTTTTTTGTTCTCCCTAAACAACTAATTTCGTGAGACTACTTAATGTATAGGAAAGAATGTTGAAAATACAAGAGCTGTAATGAAAGTTTTCTTACCTGCTCTGTGGGACTCAGGCTGACAACATACAGAAGCGCGGTTTGAGCATTACAGCTGTGTTATGGTACGCAAGACAATAACTGGATGACAAATCAAATGCAGACAATTTTTAAAATCAACAGAAAAATAAAAGACGACAGCACATGCACACAGCTGGGCAGACAAACCGTGCATTCCAACAGCAACAATAATCTCCATGGATGGCCCTTCATGCTTACACAGAATTTCAATAAAGCTTTTCCAAAAGAGCAAAGATGTAACTTGTATCAACCCACCTACAGGATCTGGACCCCAACCAGCTCCACTCCTGTAAGTATTTATGCAAATGAGTAATACATTAGTTTCAGTTGGTCTACTGATGTGACTACAGCTAATTACTGAAGCAAACCTTTCCAGGATGGGGCTTCCTGTTAGAAACAACAACCAAACTTTAAAGTTTAGCATTTATAAACACACTTTAGCCACTCCCATGTGTTAACAGCCTATGCATCTTGGGGTTAGTATTTTAAGTTATTATGCAAAGTTCTTAGCACAGGTTTTTCTTAACTAAAATGAAGTTTTAAAATATTACAAGCTCTCACTCTGTTCCAAGGGTAAAGGTTTCCCATTTAACTTCTTATGTTAAATACGACTCAAAATAAACACTATTACACATAATGAAACCAAGGCTTCACTCAAACATGCTATGGTAGAAATCTAATTTCCTTTATAGTGCATGGCCACAGAGGCAAAGTAGGAACTGTTTCCATAGAAGTGAGTAGAAAACACATTAAAACCTTGATCCATGGGATCCACGTGGCAAAGTAGGATATGAAGCAGTTCATTTATAATCAACTCTGGCACTTTTATGTCTGCAACTGTGCAATTGCTATCTCCACCTCATTTACTATGGCTTTTAATTTTCTTTTTCCTTTTCTCTCCATGCCAGAAAGGAACAAACTCCTATGCAAACTTTCTCTAGACTCACACTGAGAATAATCCTTTAAAACCTTATAAAACCTCAGTTGTCCAGGAAGTGTAGCCACACCCAAGCATGAAACTAGTTTTTATTTTTAACGTTAATACACAGTCATACAATTTTGTTTATATACATATTTAAATGCTTGTCTATTTGACAAGCTTGTCTCTTCAGTTCGAAGTCCAAGCACATAGGACCCAATGTCATTTCTCTGCAATATAAAAGCACTTCCATAAATTCTTTCTAAACTCACCTACATTTCAACATAAGCTCAACTTTTGCTTGTCCCAACAACATTCTCTCTCTCCCTCTGTCTCTGTAGGTATGAACACACACCCCATAGATATATGGATTTTATAGAACTATTTATAGCATGTGACTACAAATTTATGAAGATCCAAACAAATAATTTCCAGGTCAGTTAAGATAAGGAAATTAGAATTTTTTCTCTCTTGAAAAATATCTTTTTCTTGAACGCAACTGTTCAAAGACCATCTTTCACATGAGTTAAGCTAGGAAGTCATCAGCCTTCCCTAATATAAAAGTTTCAAATCTCCTAAACGTCATGCTGGAAAGCCAGAAAGCATACGCAATACAGCACCCTTATGGTTCTTTAACTGAAACACAGCCGTTAAAAGAAATTTCAAGTGGTAGAACACCAGACACAGCAAAATGCAAACACCCAAGGAAACTGGAAACATCACAACGCGTTAACATTTTCCATGACAATGCTTTTTCCTATATATAACTAGCCTTCTTCTCTATCCCCGTGACTCTAGATTATGATGTCCCTTCATGTACTCTACATGAAGTGCAAAGTGCTTTTGTTGTTAGTCAACAAACGTGTTATTATTAAAAATTGTTTGGTTTGTTGTTGGTTTTTTTTCCCTTATGGAAGAGTCAAGGCACATTTCCAACACACCTGTGAGCCATCTACTAATTTTCAAGGCACCATACTATATACGTAGGTGTTCTAAGGAGACAAAGTGTTTCATTTAAACACACCTAAACAGACACACATAAACAACTTGTTATTGCCACAATCTCATTATCAGAAACAGCTGAACCTCAGTGAAACCCTCCCTCAAAAACCAGTCCACAGCATGGGAGATTTCAGTCTAACCAACTGAAACTATTTCCAAACATTATAAGCAATAAAACCAGAACTCACTCTTATCATAAGCCTTACTCAGCAGACAGTAGCACTACCGGCTCCAACCACGGCAACAGGTCTTAGACAAGAAAAACCTCGATATACATTCTTACCACTTGACTTTTCACTCACACAACATCTTATCAAACCATATTTCTAAGGTTCATCTGCTCGGGTGCAGTTCTATGCTATTCAAACCCAAATCATCCTTTCTTCATACAGCTGCTAAATAGTAAGATATGACATGCAAACAGTAAATAACAACACATACCTTCTTTCCCAGATTTAAGGATATTCAAAGCAAATGCAACATCTGGTTTACAGGAAAATCCTTTTTACTCAAAGGACACAAGATGACCAAGTGATTTACCATGGTCCCGGCTCTGAGCGAATTAGAAGTAGGACCCTGATTACAGTGCTAGCCAGTACACTGCAAGCTATGTACTTGCAACTGACTGAAGGAAAAAAAAAAAAAATGAGATCAGGAAAGATTTATAGATGTGACCAAAGGAAAAAATTAATTTCACAGCAGGTATTACATACAAAGGCACTAATTAATATGGCAGCATTCCATTTTCACAGAATTCACAGAATTCACAGAATTCACAGAATTCACAGAATTGTTAGGGTTGGAAGGGACCTCTGGAGATCATCTAGTCCAACCCTCCTGCCAGAGCAGGGTCACCTACAGCACGTTACACAGGACAGCGTCCAGGCGGGTTTTGAATGTCTCCAGAGTGGGAGACTCCATCACCTCTCTGGGCAGCCTGTTCCAGTGCTTCTCATCACAGACAAAACAACTGCCTTCCCATGTGCAGAAAAGAATTTAAAAGCTATTTCTGAATGGAGAATTAGCAGTTTTGGTTCAATCTTGAGTTTATAAAGGCTGAGGAAATAGCAGATTTCTAATGAGGTAATTCCTCAAATCTACTTAGTTAATACAAGTGAAGCAAATAATAATGATAATAATAATGAACTGCTCCCTTTTAAAAAGGCTGCAGATCTCTTCTGATTAGGTCCAAGCTGGAGCCAAATTAACTGTTACTTCTGTTTTAACAGTTTCACTATCATCCTTTACTTCCTCCTCTCCTGAACATGTCCTCTCCATCACAGCGAGTGAATCAGGCAGGGCTTTCCAGTCTCCAGGTATTCAACATTCCCACTGTCTTTTTATAATAGGCATTTCACTTTCAGATCATTCTGGGAATTTCTAAAGCAACTGTTGCAATAATTCTTGCATTAATAAGATAAAAGTCTTACTTCTTCTTCTTGTATTCCTGAAAGTTTTACCCAGAAATGAATCAGGTTTCCTATTTTATTAAATGATAAAGCAGCTACTATGAATTAAAAATTAATAATACAGGACAATTTTCAAAGGTCTTTTGTCATAAGACAGAAGCAATTGTCCTGTGACTACATTTAATTTTTTGTCACTTTAGTCGACCTAGTTTGAAAAAGAAAGACAAGATACATAAGTACAAATAGTACTTTCCTTTAAAACTGAAAACTTGCTTCATAATCGCCATTTAGCAAACAGAAGAGGAAGAAATCATAATAACCACCAGAAAAAACGTTTCTGCTGAAGTTTCACACGAACTTAACTGCACGCCGACAAGACATCCAGCAAATACTTTCCCTAAATCCTTACTAGAGATAATTGCCCATCACTGAGATTATTTGACCGAACTAATTACGTTAAACGACTTTGTTAACATCTCCCACTTCCGCGCTATACAACGCAAGAAAAACGCTCGCCATAAACACCTGTCCCCGGCTCCTCTTCAAAGGACATTCACCACACCGTCAGTGCCACGAAGGGTATTTTTTACCGGCGATTATACAACCCGTTCCTCTCCGAGCGCCACCGCAGCGTGTTTTCCCGTCAATTCCCAGGAAACGGCGGCACCGCCGCTGGGGGGGTGGCGGGGGAAAGCAGCGCTGTTTTTCCTTCGGGATTCCTTTGCCCGGTGCGAAGGCACCTCCCCGCTTCGAGTCTCTCTGGAGCCGGCACCAGCCGCGACTTGTCACCGACCCCCGCGGCCCCCTCCGCCCCCCGGGCAGGGGCGGCCCGAGGCCCGCGGGCAGCCGGCACCCACCTCGGGGGCCGAGGCAGCGGAGGGGACAGCCGCCTTGTGCGGCCCCTCTCCGGCCCGCAGCCCGGGCTGGCCGGTCCCCGGCACCGCGCCCACCGCCTAACTTTTCCGAGCGGACGCCCGCCGGCCCTGGCTCTGCCCCGTTGCCGCCGGCAACGCTCCAGCCCCGCTCCCCCGCCGCACTCACCCGGCGGGACGCCGGTGCCGTCGGTCTAGCGAACGCCCCCCGCCGCGCTCCGAGCAGGTGCGCAGCGCCGCCCTGCCCCGGCTCCCCGTCCCCCGGCCGGGCTCTGAAGGCGGCAGGTCGGGCAGGCACCTCTCCTCCGGACGGGCACCGGGCGGGAGGCACCGCTCGGCTCAACGCGGCTCGGGCCCTCCCTGCCCACAGGAAGGCGCGGGGGGAGCGACCCCCGCCCCCGGAGAAACGCTCACCTCCGGGGCTGCTGCGCCTGAGTCTCGTCCTCCTCCTCCTCCATGGTGCCGCCCCCCCCCCTCCGCGGCGGCTCCGCGGCTCTCCAGCAAGAGCCGTTGAACGGCTGCGGCCTCCCCCCCGCCCAGCCGGCGGCCGAGGGCAGCGCGGCGAGCTGCAGGCAGCAGCTCCACAGCGCCCTGCTCCTCATCATGGCGCGGCGGCGTTCCCGCGCTTCAGCGGCCCCCCCAACCCCCGGCGGCGGGGCTGAGGGAGCGGGCTCACGGCGGCGGGCCGCCTGGCGGCGCCTTAGCAAGATGGCGGCGGGGGTCGGCGCTGAGGGAGCGGTGGCGGCCGGACGTCCCCCGGGCTCGGAGCCACGGCGGTCGCTGGCGCTGGAGGCCGGACCGCGGGGAAAGGGAAGGACTTGGTTCTGCACCTGTCCGACTGCCATGGTTGGCAGTCGCTGCCCGCAGTCCCATCCGAGAATAGGAGCGCGCTCCCACCACCTGGTGCTGCGGTGAAAAGTTTCCTAGACTTGAGTTTTCTCAGGACCCTTGAAGCGGTGCCGCCATCACCGTCGGGTACCGGCGCTCACGGGAGATGCGATGCCCGAGTGAGGCCACCACACGTGGCAGCCGGCCACCCTCCGGCGGAGCGGCCCACCTCGCAGGGCCCTGTGCTGCCATGGCCATTTTCCTCTGTTAGGAAGTTAACACTCGTGCCCGAGTTTCTTCACGTGCTGGATTACAACCATCACGTCACCCCCTGTTCACACCTGTGAGTGAGGAGTTCACACGCGACACCAGCTGACGGGCTGGGGCGTGAGGGATTTTGAGGTACCCAATCCAGAGAAATTAGGTTCTCGGAAATAAATACATGTTTTTTAATCTTTCCTTACTTCCATAAGGACATAATAGAATGGAAGGTAAAAGGGCAAAGCTGTGCAGCTGTGATATGGAAAAAAAAATCATACATAGCGGCAATATGAAATCTAAGACTATCTGGAGCTCTGATAACACATTTATGTACATTTTACCTTGACGGTCAGGAATGGACATCCAGTTTATTAGTGAAGAAATCTTGCCTATGTTCAGAGGCCAAGTTCTCAAGGTAGGTCTTGGGAGGCTAGAAACATGAGCCTCTCTTCTTGTCATTAACCTGTCATTCTCTTAGTCTCTGTAAGGCAGGGGAAGGATAATACTAGCAAGTTATCTTGTTCTGTATGAGGAAGACAGGTATGTTTTGGTTGCTTGTGGTCAGGCAGATTTGCTGACCTTTGCCAGTGGAAAATTCAAATTTATTTCTTGCTTCTGCCTCTTCTCACCTGGCATTTCCTGATCATTTCACCTCCTATCAGTACGTCTAATGCTAAGATGGCCTTGTAGCAGCAATGACTGTTACTCCTACTTTATTAAAAAAAAATCTATATTGATTGAAGTTATTTCTACTGTTACTTGAAGGAATCTGAGACCTAGTAAATGAGTTATATGATAAAGCTGCTCTCCATAGCTCTGATCAGTGCCCATTGACAGTAATAATTAGCGGCTATGTGTAGAAATTTGTGTAAGCAACCAGGTAAGTGCCCCCAGGCTGGTAGTAACTGATTGCCAACGGTAGCGGATTTGGGACGCTCACTCTACACTTCAGCTGAGTATCTCCTGGTAGGCAGACCTGCCTCACCATGTCATTTGCAAGTAGTTTGTATGCCACCAGTGCTGCAAAAGCCACAGTTCAGGAGACTCTGCTTTAGTAAATGCATTTTGTCTGTACTACAAATATAGATGTCAACATTTGGAGGCTGTAAGTAAAGACAACTGATGTTTGCGCAGCATAGTTTTCAATTTGAAAGGCATACAGCTCTTTTCTGGCATACCAACTGGTGAAGAATCATACAGTCGTTCAAGTAATTTCTGACACCGACAGAGGTGCATATCTACTTTGCCACGCCAGCGTGCACAACATGAGAAGATTCGACTTCAGAGGTGCTCTTCAACAGAACCAGAATTTTAAACGAGTTTCCTGGTTCAGTATTCCAATGAGCCAACTAAGATCTCAGTCTAGTCCTGCTGCTTTGATAGGTTTTGATCTTTCAATGTCTTATGCACACAAACACATTTAAACTGAGGAGAAGTTCCAGTGGGACAGCTGTGCTCAAATAGTTGTGTAAACCCAGAACAGAGATCTCTCTGACTCTTAATAAACCCCAGACGTGCTAATATGCTTAGAGGACTGACGTTAGGATCCTGCAGGAGTTGGAGGCCAGAAGTTACTAACAGATGGGAAGGTTCCAGCCATCTGTGCATGAGGTAAGAGTTTTTTGCTTGGCACCTAGCCCTAAGAAAGGGAGTTTTAATAATTTTATTTTCTTCAGTGGCATGTGTTCCTGGCATTTTTACTACTCAGACTGGCCCCATATATTTTCCACTATATATGGAAATGTAAAAGATTTGGGAGCTTCTTTGTACTGCAGAGAGACAAAATAGCAAAGTGGGGTTATTTTGGGGTCAGTGCATTTTATTTTCTTACAGTGAAATTTAACAACTGAAACAATCCTTTTTTATTGAAGAAGTTTTTGAGGCATACCATTTCATTAACCATTTGGAAGGATAAGTTCCTTAATGTAGCTTAATCTGCTTAATGCAACAACCTATATCTTAATTAGAATCGCACAGTTAGTATTTCACGAATTGTATCCACAGTGGTGTCTTTCCTTTGGAGATAGCGTATGCATTAATCATGGGAAGGACAGCTCAACTAGCTTGATTATAAAACTTCTCTTGATGAAGGGTTTAACCTTCTATGCAACCAAAGTTTATCAGTATTTTGTTTAGATCTCTAGAGCACAGAATATCTTTTTCACAAAGTTTAATTTAGTCAGTTGACATAAGATGTGTCAGAGCAAGATACTCATTGCCTTGGGCAGTAACTGAAGCACAATCTAAAGTAGGAAAACTTAAAAATTCTTATAGTTAATATTTTTATAGATATATAACTGAGCCGTCTTGACTGAAAACCCTCCTCGATAACAAAATAAAAAATGTTGTACCATCTCTTGCTCCATCTTAGAATATCAAGCCATAGTTCAAAATCCCTTTAGACTTAGGCTTGCTATATACTAGGCAATGTTTACTGTTAGAGTGCAGATGCAGCTAATGGCAGCAAACCAGCACATTTGCTGGAACAGTCTGTGCTGGATCTCTGAGTGAAATAAACTATCCTAGCAAAGAAGTTTTTCACCACTCTAATATTATCTGTACTAAAATTTTTACTAGCGTAGAAATGTTGGACCAAAAGAAATTCCACTAGGCTACTAAAAGTCTCTCTGGTAAACCTGGCCCGTGTCAGGACGTAATCAAAAAGCCTAACCTAGCCCTTCTAATTACAGTGTGGAGAGGAAACCACCCTTATAGCACCTCTAATACCTCGCTGGTATCTCTTTAACTTCTACCTAGGGGACATAACTGGGGGAAGGCAATAACTGGAACCATAACAGAGACTTTTAGGCTGTGTTACGCTAGTAACAGGCCAGGACCGTTCTCCAGCCCGACACCTAGTTCTACAATATATGTATTTTCATACAGATAAACCTTCCAAGCCTTGAAGAGCAGGTGGCTGCATCAGAATTGCTGTTGAAAGCGTTCCCTGGCCCACACTAATCCGTGAAGCGTGCTTGGGCTTTATCTGGGAAAATGCTGTTTGGCATGAGCCGAAACTCAAGTAGCAACCTTGCTAGCAATTTAATGGTTATTAGTGATAGTGTGGCAGCATCCAGGCCCATGCCCTAGTTTACTGGAACAAATCTAGCCTTTGGCAACACCTGATTTTGAAATTTAACCATGTATCTCCAGGGAAATTAAAGTTGTAAAATCGGTGAAGCTTGGCAATGTCATTCTGAACAAGCACTACCATGAGATGATGCTGCTACAGTCAGTACCTGATAATATATTGTAATATTGCATAACATTTTGCAAAATTACTGTCATTAAATTTTTTTTAGGAAATTCAATTACAGTGCCTAAAAAGCCTGATCTGTTCCAGATTCCTTTGTGTGGAAAGAACAATCCTCGCCCTTTTGCAATTGAATTTGTAATTGGGTATAAGATACAGTAACGGATTTAATAAACAGGAAAAAGACATTCTGGATGCACAAAGGAGGAAAACCCAATAAGAATACATAGGGTAACTCCTAACACAGTTAGGTTGTTATAAGTGTCTTGACTTCTAATTGCAAATTAGAAATTGTAGAACATTGTGCTGCTTTCAGTGCAGTCAAGACGATGACAAACAGTTTCTTTGTGTCTAAATGCATCAATGAAAGGTGTCCCTCTAAAAATCATTTTAGACTGATACTGAAATGGATTGAGCTTGCAAGTATCCTTTGTTTCAGGGAGTATTTCTTACACATAGTACCATGGTTTGAATGTGTATGTTAGCAATTGCTAAGATTTTAACTATACCTTCTAGTTTCATCTCTGATACGACCAGATCACTGTCTGTATATGTAATGAGCCTTCTTCTCATGCCATTTATATCTTTATGGTTTCTTTTTTTGTGGCTGTAAGAAGTATTTGGCCCTATCTCAGTGCTTTTCTTCACCACAGAGCAAGTGGGTTACTGTGGGGCAGATATGCATCATCTGACAACGCCAGTGCTGGGTCTCAGTGGGTCTTTAAGATGGTCTGTCTGCCTTTGTGGCTGTGAATGTAGCCCTTTGTCAGGGAGTGCCTGTTGCGAGTCCTCTGTAATGTGGGAGAAAAATTCATCCTGCCGAGACACCGCTTGCTTGTTTGGCATAAGGTCAGCCTGCAAAATGAGAGGGCTACTGCACTGGCAGTACTACAAAGTGCTCAGAGATGGACAAGATGCAAGTGTGTAGGAAGGG